TTATTGATATTCAACGTAATAACTTTTTTTTATGATGGTTATTGTAAATAACTCTATAGGTAGTACAATATATTATATTGGCACGCTGACATTTTTTTTACCAGCCTAGTTGTTAGCATGCCTATCACAAAGTTGAAATGACGTCCCTATGCTAAGGTGGATATTGTCAATGGTAGCCATTGTGGCTCCTATACACAACAATTATTGCGTCACTATCCGTCCCTATTTAATTTTAAGTCTGTGCCACTGCACATAATATAATACTTATCAAACATTTAATGACTATGACAAATTCGTTGAGTAGACACTAGACACAGAAGTACACACTACACGGTATAGTAATAATGCATTTGTACCGGCAGTTATATAATGATATATACCTAATCGACGTAAACTTACATTAATTTATGCCAAAGCACTTTTTATGAACAACTGTAAAATAAAAATAAAAATGCGTATACGTTTTGTTTGCACAGTAGGTAATTGCACATATTATAACACCTATATTATGTAATATCGATAATTGCAATATTTTCAGACTGAAATGTGTTGGGAAAAAATGGCATAGAACTACGTGACGCCTTATTCTAAACCGAATGAGCTATGTGCCTGTTCTACAATTATGTCTGCTTTTTTTTATTCACATTTTGAATTAAGTACCCAACAATTAGTATCTAATCCATTTCTTACTTAGTTATAAGTTATAACAATAATAACGATAGTGGATACCTATTTCTATTGCTATATTAATTTAAACTTTATAAGCTATAACTTATACACTGTGTGTCTGTGTGACAGTACCAAAATTGTTTGACTTTTGAGTAAATTGAAACTTGAAGATTGATTTTCTTTCTCAGAAGTTATAATAAATATATCTTAGCCTCGCTTTCTATAAACGTAACTCATAATGTTGCTTTAATCAATTTTAAAATGCTTAAAAATAGATTCCCTGTATATATTATTATAAATATTAATCAGTTATAAAATTAAACGTATTTGATCAAAAATAATCATTCAAATAAACAACGTTTATTACAATTCATACTGCAGTGATGTCATTCGAATCAGATTTCATGCTTAGAATTGTATCAAATTGTACACATTTTATTTTTGCCAACCAACCGATACGGTTAATACGTATTACTTAAGTTTGTCTACCCAAATGTTTAGTATAATGTGTTAAACGTCAACATTAAATTTAGGTACCACAGCGCTAACAAAAGGGTTCAGTTGATACCTTTGCATTTTAGAGCAGGTGATGATCGTATAGATACCGCAAATGGACGAGTTTTACCTATTATATTGATATGATATATTACAGCTATAATAATATATTGTTAGGGGTCCTTGCAGCTAAGGCGAGGACGNTACCTGGGTACTATAACTATTATACCTATAGTTACACCTTATTCGAAACCGTAAACTTGGTTTAAAAAATATGCTGACGAAATGCTTTATGATTATTGATAATATTTGGTTGCAAATCGTGGTGTAGGTATACACAGGTATGAAGCACAACCAATTCAGTTAAACATGTAAATACTAAATAATAAAATATTACACAAAAGACGAACGCTGTCGTTCAATGCCATCCATCAATTGTTTTATAATTTCTCATCAATAGGTTTTTCCTACATATGGGATTTTTGAAATTACAATTGATATCTGCATCTGTTCCTGTTCGTCACCACTGTTTACAATAATATATTACTCGGAACTGGTCAGAAGTAGGCAGTGCGTATATTGTACCTATATTAGGTATATCATAATGTAATTATAAATTTGTTATATTAGGGGGGGGGGGATTCGAATAATCGGGGAAAAGAAAAAAATAACATTGTGGAATTAATAAAAATGTATAAAAATAGAGCATATTCCAAAAATATCAAACTTTTCAAAAGGTTATTTAAACCAAGTATTATTACTGGTGATAGGTCTTTTTTTATAAATCAATACTGCTTTTATAGTATGATAGTGTAGACCTGGTCAACGATTGTCTTTACTTTGGATGATGATTTGCGTGGTATAATATACCACTGATGCAAATGATGGGTTTTGTGATGGTCATTTTTCTTTGAGCTCCAAACATTTTATTACAATTACATATTATGTTATAATAGTGGAAAAAACGTATTCGTGACCGCTATTTCTTGTTAATTAAACGTCATATACATATACGTCGTAAATTAAAGTATTAGATGACTCAAAACGCATTATGAAAATTGTAGGCAACTTTATACAGACAAGTGTGATTGTGTGAACATAAAAAAAAGATTAAAGTGAAAAGTGTGATGCTATTAATCGCGTATTTTTAATATTTGTGTTTTGGTTTACTATACATAGGTACTTCTGAATTGTGTTTGTATACACAGTAAGCCAACTAACTCTGCCACAGTTCCCCCCTATAGGCTATAGTAAGTATCTATAATGCTTAATACAACATACATTTTTTTATACTCGATTACTTTGCAAGGACGTGAACACATAATACAACGCAATTAACCTAAATACTTTTGTACTACTATAAATCTATATATTTGAATTGTTTTTTTGGCAACGTTTATCTAAAATTTAGAATATATATTATATAAAGCTAAGTATCCACATTCAACCCAAAGTTGGATTTCAATTTTATCAAAAATAAATAAATGTTTAATGTGGATGGATCTTTCATTGGATTAGTGACAACGAACTGAACTACCGATGACGGTGACGTTACGATTTATTATTGATATTCAACGTAATAACTTTTTTTATGGATCCGTAGAAAACTCAATGGATCGAATATCAAACAATGCCGTATTATAGACGTTTGGGCAATAATTAATCATTTTACTCAGAATATGAAGAAGGACAACCGCTAAGCGGAAATTACAATTGAGTTTATTACCAGACACACCAAGGTTGGTATAATTACTAATTAGTAACAACTTTTATAATACATCTACTACTATATATTTTTAAATAACAATAACACCAAACTTCTATTCACGGTGAAAAATCATGAAATAAAATGTTAACTGTTAAGTCGCCCAGTCGCATAGTGGAATATAATATTATGTACTCCATAGACTATTTTGAACATGGTTGTCAATAGAGACAATGTATGTAAATTATATTAATAATAGTGTCTAGATATCGAGGTTAGGCTTCCGGTTGAAAGCAATACCGTTTCTCAGATGCACAGTGCACACATATCATTCACGTTTATAATAGGACTTTCTCGATTATATTGTTAAATACTACGAGAACGGAGAGAGTTAAGACCAATTTATCGTATAATATGCATTGTAGATTTGCGAGGATGTCAGCAAGCTATATGTCAGTTTTGTATCCGTACTATAAAAACACATTTTGGTTTTTTGTTTGAATTTTCAATAAACAATAGTTTGAACAATCATTTTTATACTACAACCCAACGTGCAAGTCAATATTGGAATTTGAGTGTGCGCCCTCTCCCCTCCCAACTATAATAACCTATTTTAGATTCTATAAGCATATAAACAAATACTCTTCAGGGAGTTATCATTTCAGGGTGACGCATATATTTTGAAATAGTTTATTTTACTGAAAAAAAACGTACTGGGATATAAACGAGCGCGCATCTGCTTTTAGTCTGAACAACTTGTGGATAACTAACCTAACCTATATATTTTCGCACGGAATTGTTTATCAAATGCAATAATTGTCACATTTAATTTCAAAATAATAACCCACCTGCGTAAAATTCTGCTGTGCCAAGATGATAACTAATATCGAACGGAGACATCTACACACATTATTTAATCCAAGTAAGACCTTAAAATACTAAATTACTAGTAAAAGTATGACGGTTGACGAACTTTTATACTTTACAGAAGAACGCATTCGTGCAAGCGTCCTGAAACCTGGAACTGTGCTCAGTTTGTCATTATAATATATTCGACTTACACTCAGGAGCGTCTTCGGGGGAGGAGTTCAGTGAGAAATTTGTCTCCCCCCCATGAGCTCGTTTTTGATAAATAATATATGTATAGTGTATAATTACATTAAACTACTCCACCCAAAAAAAATTATTGACCTTGTAGGAGGAACGGCACTGATATATTTAAATTTACTATTGAAAATCAATCAAAATTTACTTTATCATGCAGAAATGCAGTCTGTTTTATAATTTTTACCACTAGCCTAATTCAAAGCTTATGTCAAGAATAGTAAAATGTGTGTGATGCATATAGTGAACGTTTAATAACCCAATTCTTAGTCTGTTCAAATTTCGTATACCTATTCGTATAACTTCTTAAAACATCGAACAGTGGTNATAAAATAAATAGTTATACAAATGTTTATAACTTCTGAAAGTATATTATTATACGCAATTGAAAGAACTTTAAATTACAGGAGCTACTATGTTATCGGTATCAAAGTTAGTAATTTTTCTCATTGTAATTTGCGAGTAAGTACCATGTAAAAGTTATTTGTACCTATGGGCATTAATAAAAAAAACTTAATTTAATATTGACGATATTATATAATATGGCTATAGCGACCAGGGTCTTGCCTACTGACACGTACTCTAGGCGACAACATTTAGCACTAGATCTAGTTGAAATAAAATATAAATTATCCGAAAACTTAGTGTGGTTTATGTTGGCAATTCATGAAAACAGAAATAAAACTGTATTGTGCCCAAAATAGCAAATATAAGTACGTCATTTGCATTAATAATATATCTAGAACTAATAAACAGGTATACTTAACACAGCGAAAACTGAAAAGTCAATACACTAACGTCGAAGTAGTATAATATAACAATATGGGCTTTGCATAGGGACGTCTCATTATATTATACGTTTTTTTTATTTGTATCAACACATATAGGTATTACGACGAGAACTGATATTTGTGATATCTTGTACTTAATTTTGTCATTCGTCAAAACTCAAATTTTATTCTGACACAATATATTATACTTCCTTTATTAGGTTGTAGGTACTTTGTGTATAAAATTACTGTGTATGGTTACGTTGTAATCGATATCAGAAGCGAATTCGGAGATAAAAATGAAATTAGTTAGATACCTTATCCTTATGACTTATACCCATGTAATTTACTAATATCAATGTGCTTATAGTGGTTGTGCACCTTATAGTATAGGAATATAATTTAAAATTGTTTTGCCTACTTTATCTGCAGGTTAGGCATAGGTA